CCTTGCAAAAAAGGGTACAACCACATATCTTCAGCTTCACCAACCAAAAAAAGGTGACTTGAAGAGGCCGAGGCGCAGGTATCAAAAATAAAGTCCAAGGGGCTGGACCTTTTTTTGGCCGAATTCTTGTGGATGATCTTCAAAGGCTGACCCCACAGGAAAAAAATCGCATCACCAGGTCAACCATCCATAGATAGGAAATGATGGGACGAATTGAAGAATTTTGTTCCAACGTGTGGCCAAATTGCAAAACAGGCGTTTTTTCCTGAAGATACATTTGTCCATGCAAAAGGGTTGTGCATTGCCGTGGGCATCTGCCGGACCGCACTCGTGAAGCCGTGGACTCTGAAAAACTGCGAGCTGTCAGCCGGGAAGTCAGGTGCCAGGAATTCATTTTTTCCGTATCAGATTGAGGGGGGGAAGATATGGCATGTTACCAACGCAAGCATCCAGGAAATATTTTTTTTTACTTGGATATGAGAGGGGTAAATTTATTGGATGTTGGACGTTGGGCACCACGAAATTAGCAAAGAAAATTCAAAAAGGTGGTTGGAAGTGAGATTTCGGCTTCAGAGGTTAGGAGCCAGGAATTTAAAGCTCTAAAACCTCTCTCAAAGGTTAGGGGTCATCATTTTAGACCGATTTTTTTTCTAGGACTGTACCCCACGTTTTTGTACCGACGGGGATCAACAATCATGTAGAGAGGACACATCATTTCTGGTCATTTCCAACAGAGAGAGAGAGAGAGAAACAGTTCTGGACCTCCAAAGCCTAGTGTCATCCATCTCCCCGTCTTGAAAGATCTTGACAGCATGCGAGCAAAAAAATGATGGAGCCGGTGGAAACCCTGTGACCCAGGATTTGAATTATATGACAAGAAAAGTGTTTATGCCAAACCCTCAGCAGTTTTTGAAAGGTCGTGATCTTCCAATTCAATCGACTTGACGATCTGAATGGGGTAGGTACACATGTATCATCATAAAGGTTATGACCCAGGAAAAGAGTTGTGTCAGCGCAATGGTGGGCCAGGAGACATGTTAGTCCACATAAAGGTTGTGGAACAGGATTTTAATTTGTTTGCCCGGGAAATTGCAACTTGGTTGTTGGCTTAAATCTGTTGGGTTGTACCCTTTGGAAATCAATTCCAAAAGGTTGTGGACCAAACGATTTAAGGCATTTTTTTCCAGGACTAGACCCTTTTGAGCGGTACCACGGGCTATGAGACATGCGAACTCCGCAACCAACGCAAAAGCCAACGTAGGTATAGTAGAATGATAAAACGGAGAGCAAACTATTTCATCAGCAAAAATGATGCCAGCCCATCCCCACCCCAACAGGGCAATAACAATAATTACCTACCCTATGCCCACAAATGGTGTATGGGCACGCTGAATTGCCGTGGGCTTAACGAGCAATCAAAACGAGAGCAAATTATGGAAATCATGCGTCAACTCAAAATTGATGTTTTGGCATTGCAAGAAACCAAAGTCAACCACTGCAGTGAAGAATGCCGTGTTAAAGAAGGTTCCAACGACCAGTACAGGTTCTTTTTCAGTTCCGCCAACGACACTCAGCGCCATATCGCGCAAGCGCCACAAGCCAAAGCAAAGGCCAAATGTGCGCAAAGAACTGAACACTGCGGGGTTGGATTTGTGATCGGTCCACGCTGTATTGACATTATTGCAGATTGTGTTCCTCATAATGGTCGTTTAATAGAACTGCACTTGCACAATAAAGGTCCAGACATATGCATTCTCAATCATTACGCGCCACATAGTGCAAAACCATCAGGGGAAAAGGATACACATTGGGGCCTGCTAACCCAAATCACTCAAGCACGCTCCTGCTGCATGCCTACATTTGTAGTTGGTGATGCAAATGCGCGCTTACATGGTCGCGCACATGAAATCGAGGAAACCGTCGTTGGTCCGCACGTTTTTGGCTGGGGCCAAGGTTTTGTAACAAGGCTTCCTGAAGAGCAACTTGAAAACCGTCAACTTATGATTGACTTTTGTATTGCAAACGATTTCATTATCTCCAATACTTTCTTCAACAAGGCCAATGAACACAAATGTACTTTCAAAGATGCCAGAACTGATGGCTTCAAAGCTCCTTGGACGCCTGGCAGATTTGCCCAACTGGACTTTATTCTTGCGCCACAACGATGGAAAAATGCAGTCCTCGATGTCCACTCTTACACAAACATTGCCTTCAATAGTGATCATGCGGTGGTTGTTGCAGACATGCGCCTGAAACTACGCAAGCACAAAAGTAGAGGTAAAGCGGCCCAAAATGCAAAACGATTTTTCCAACCAACCGACGTTCAGCTTCAAAGATATAATCAGCAGGTCCATTCTCAGTTCATTTTTAAGACCGGTACACTGGATGAGAAACTTAGTAACTGCTGTCGTTTTGTATCTCAGTTGCATAAGGCGGCGCTGGAAATCTTTGACGAAAAACATGTTGTACAAAATCGCGATTACCTTTCTCGTTATACCTGGCACTTAATTAATCAACGACAAATTGCTAGACAAAGGAGAGATACCCAAGCCGAGCAAGTCTTGAATCGTGAAATCAAGAAAAGTGCTAAAAGAGATAAAATACAATGGCGCATTAATAAGCTCGAAGATCTAACGGATATCAAAAATTCTTGGAAGCACATCAAATATGAAAAACGTGATTACATGCCCAAATTCTATGACATCAAAGACATCCGAGGAAATCGAGTCCCTCTATCAAAAAAAGCAGATGCAATTGCTGAATATTTGTTTGAAAAACAATGGGGGCCTACTAACCCATCATCCCCACCTGAGAATGCTCGAGAAAACGTGTTTTCCCACCCCCTACCTTTCTTTACAGGAAACCTCTCTGCAAATGAAGTTAGAAACGCGATCTCCAAACTAAAAACCAACAAAACGCCAGGACCCGATGGAGCAATCACAGAACTCTTCAAATGGCTTGATGATCACACATTGGAGCAGCTCACCGACTGCTTGAATGTTTTCTGGACTGAAAAACAAGTTCCTGATTCCTTTACCCAAGCACAAGTATGCTGTATATACAAAAAAGGTGCGCACGACAATCCTGAAAACTATCGTCCCATCTCGCTCCTGAACACCAGCTACAAAATTTTTGCAAGCATCATTCAAAGTCGCCTCGCAAACATCCTGGAGCCACTACTAGGGGACACTCAATATGGTTTCCGCCCCAAACGTTCCACTGCAGAGCCACTTTTCTGCGCTCGCAAACTCGCGGATTTCGCTGAACAAGGCAACGACCCTCTTTTTTTAATCTTTTTAGATTGGGGAAAAGCCTTCGATAAAATTGATCATGAAAAGATGTTCTTATCCCTTTCTAGACTACAGATTCCACCTAACATTCTTGACAATATTAAGAGTCTTTACTCGAACCCGACTTTCCAAGTCCTCCAATCTGACCATAGCAGCGATTGGCAAAAACAAAGAACTGGGATTCGACAAGGTTGCCCGCTTAGCCCCTACTTATTTATCCTCACGATGCACGTAATGTTTCATGATGTCAAAAATCAGTACCATGACCCCCTTCATAGCAAAACTTTCCAAGGCATAAATTTCCAAGAGCTGCTTTATGCTGATGACACACTTATCATTGCAAAAAATTCGGCAACAGCAAACGCTTTCCTTCATTTGATTGAAAAAGAATCCGAATACCTGCATCTTAAACTTAATCACGATAAATGCAATTACATCAAATTTGACGCACCACGAGGGAATATTCGTTTCAGAAATGGCACCGAAATGAAACCAACCACAGAAGCAAAATACCTGGGCTCAGTGATCACAAATACGCCGAATCCGGCGCAAGAAATTCGGCGTAGAATCTCCAATACGATGCCAGTTCTCAAAAAGCTAGACATTTTTTGGAACAAAACCCGCTGTAACAAAAAGTGGAAACTGCTAGTCTACAATTCGGTTATAGTGAGCCGGGTGCTGTATGGACTGGAATCCCTTGAGCCTACAGAAAATATTGGTCGGATGCTCGACGTTTTCCAACTAAAAGGATTACGCAAGATTCTGAACTTACATACCACTTTCGTCAACAGAAACAACACAAATGAGTTTGTTTACCAACAAGCAAATGATGCCTTAGAGGCCCCTTCAGTTGGTCCACTCCGAAAAATTAAACCGCTGACTGAGATCCTTGAGGACAAACGTTTGAAACTTTTGGGGCATGTACTCAGACGCCCAAGATCGCATCCTCAGCACCAAGTCACTTTTGATTCGTTCCTTGCCAGACCAAAAGTCCCTACACTGCGTAGAGTAGGCAGACCCAGAAAATTCTGGACAACAGAAAATATGCGCAAAGCTTGGGAAATTATCCAACAGGCTGACAACGCTCAACCACATGTTCCTTTTGATCCAGCTAACCGGACAATTCGCGAGACATTAATTGCTGCGGCGCGAAACTACCAAGCGCCTTTTGACTAGTTACCACCATCTCGTTTTCAACATTAACAAAAATAACGGTTTTTTCTTTGCTGACTAAGGTAATCCGCCAGTGAACACACTCCTTTTGAACATGCTCTGTTTGAACATGCTCTGTTTGAACGTGACTCTATGTGAATGCTGTTTTTAATTTTTTATTTAATTTAGGATCTCGCGAGGAAAGCTCATGGCAGTATATGACAGTTACACATATGCCACCACTCAATTTGAACATCTCTTTGTGAACCTCTCCATGTGAAATGACAATTCTACATTTCAAACCTTCTTACAATGCTACTTGATAGTTTGATGACCTGTTACTGATTCTGGATAATAAAAGCGTAGCCTGAAGTGAGAGCTATGATTGTACAGCGGTAGTTTCCTTTTAGTTTTCCTCTTGTCCATAGATTCTTCCGTTTCGTTTTGAACCTTGTTCACACAGCAGGACCTAGGGCCAACGGCCGCGTGCGTTCAGCAAAGGTGGCTTAGGCTTAAAAAAAAAAAAGCCCTCAGCCTAGCTGCTTGCTGCTCTATGCCATGGCTTCCTTTGTGGTACGCAATGGCCATATCTTGAGCTGTGCATCTGGCAGCATCGTGGAAAACCATTGGTTCCAGGTGGACGCTGGTCGTATCAAAGCTATCGGCCGTGGCGAACCGCCCGACGCGACAGCCGCAGGAACCACGGTGGATTTGGAAGGGCGGACGGTGCTTCCGGGCTTGGCGGACAGTCACCCTGCAGCACCTAAGGGCAGTTCTGAGTTGTTCTTTGGTAAGGCCATATCATGCCACATCATGATTCTCATGTTGCTTGATACGTATGGTCAATGGTTGAAGTTCTGGATCCTCGTCCACTTGACTCACTTGACCTTCATTCTTGGTCTTTCAGACGTTTCAGCTTCTCACGCTCCAGGTCATCTTCATGTCTTTGCCCTTGGCAAAGCCACAACTTCGGTGAACCTGGAGGGTTGTACTTCCATGTCGGAGCTTCAAAACCGAGCTCGACAGCATTTAGAGACAGGCACTGGCGTTGGTGGCCACTTGGAAGGTCTGGGATGGGATCAGGATCTGCTTGGTCGCACGCCCAGCAGGTTGGAGATGGAAATCTGACACGATTTTTTGAGGCCGTTTTGACAGATTTTGAAAAGGGTCAAAAGGCACAACTGGGGCGAAGTGTTGCTGAAGACAAAGTTGAATTCTGCCCCGTACTATCATACTATCCGACTATCGGAAACGAAACTTGGGAAGCCAGGGACACCAAACGATCTGCAGGATGACATTGCACACGCCATGAATGATCATGAATGTACGTTTCTCCGTAAATTGTTGATATTGTTGAAGACCCTAAGAAGCTCCTGCAAAGATCCAAGGACTTCCCACAAACTTTCTTTTCCCCCAGCTCTTCAATTTTCTCTGGCGCAACAAAGATGCCTTTAGAATCCTTTAGATATTAGCATGAGCATGTACGACTAACAAGACCAGAAGTGAACCCACAGAGACGATGTCAAAGGCAAGGCTGATGAAACAACGCAAACCACGAAAGAAGAAAAGGAACATCACAAGAAACGACACAAATGAGCTGGCAGGGACAAGAAAAATAAGGGGCAAAAAAGAAGCAGAACGGGCAGGCAAAAGGACGCAAAAACAACATATTCCGATGGTGATTTGTGTTGTTGGGGAGTCAAACTCTGTTCTATCTAGATTAGGTGCAGCATTTTTACACTATGTAATGATGAGTACAACCTTGACCACTGTTTTGTTTCATTTCCTTTTCAAGTTTCAACACATTTCAACACATTTTCACAACAAAAATACCATGACGACTGTGGCACCCTTTTCAGGTCTGACTTGGACCTTTGTGTTCCAACCGTCCCCGCGGTGTTTTACCGTCGATGTCATCACGTGGCGGTCCTGAATTCTGCAGCGTTGAAAGCCTGCTCAATCGGGCGGGAAACTGAGGACGGTGGCAGTTTTTAGAGTCATCCTCGGGTATGAAAAAGCATGGCTGGCTAGGAAATCCGGACAATTTCTCATAAATGAAGGTTTTATATAATGGTAAACCGGTAGAATATACGTATAAATATAAATATAAATATAAATATAAATATTATATATATATAATATATATAATATATATATATCTATTATTTTTCCATCGCCATGTTTCATTACCAGAGGGTGAAGGATCATTTGGCATTGGCACCAAAGAATGGGAGTACCTTTTCTGATCTGGGTTTCAAGTTGATTTCGAGGTTGTTGAGCATCTATAGATCCGCAATAGCTGATTTCAGCAAACATTTGCCAAATACTCAAGCAAAAATGAATCATCACATATATTTCTACCTCTGGCATCTCTGAGCAAAGCCTGAAAGTCGACTGTACCTGGTACCTCGACCATAGTGATCCACAATGAACCCAGCGATAAAGCGAGTCATTGGGTTGGCCCTGCAGGACGTTGAAGGCGGTGTCATTGAACGTGACAACGGGGAACCCACGGGCGTCTTGCGCGAGAAGGCGTTGGAACTGCTGAAACCCTTGACCGATCACGAGGAGACGGCCAGCCAGAAAGCACTGAGACTTCCAATGTGGAAATCTTGCCATAACAAGTGTAGATGACTGATGCTCAACATAGTTCAACATAGTTTAACATAGTTTAACATTGTTCAATGATCCAGGATACAGGCTGCTCCTGTCAAAATCTGGGAGTGAAAATCCGATTCGGATGCGGTACTTGTGTTTTTTCTTCGCTGGAAGCACATAGTAGTATGTCTTCATATGTCTAGTAACTTATCACCGTATATATATATATACACACGTAATATATATATATATAATATAATATAATATAATATAATATAATATAATATATATATATATACATACACGTAATATATATATAATATAATATAATATAATATATAATATAATATATAATATATAATATAATGTAATAAATATAATATAAATATATGATATATACGATATAATATATTGTAATAAATATAATATCAATATATAATATAATATATATAAAATAATGTAATAAATATAATATAAATAAATAATATATAATATATTGTATAATATATATAATACAAAATATTATAAAATATATGATATATAATTTATAATATATAATTCATAATTTATAATATTTAATTTATAATATATAATTCATAATTTATAATATTTAATTAATAATATATAATTAGTATATAATATCTAATATCAAATATCTAATATATACTATACAATATACAATATATATTATATGTTATATGATATATAATATATGATATGATATATGATATATGATATAATATATAATATATAATATATAAAATATAATATATAAAATATATAATATAATATATATGTATATATAATGTAATATAATATAATATAATATATCATATTTAATATATCATATATACTATAATATATCATATATCACATATAATATATAATATATAATATATAATATATAATATATAATATGTAATATATAATATATAATATACAATATCACAAAATATATAATATATAATATATAATATATAATATATAATCTTTATATATCATATATGATATATAATGTATATATATATATGAAATATAATATAATATAACATAACATATATCTAATATATATAATATGTATAATATATTATATAAATTATATATACACTTCGTGACATGTGTACGGAGCTTGACATGTCAGCAGCGAGCAGCAAAGGCATAGGCAAAGAACCCCGAGCATGCACAATGGAAGTAACATTTGGTACGTTTACTTACATGTCTTACATGTCTAGGTGGGCGCCTGTCTGTTGACACGGCTGCACGCGTGCGTGTTCCAGTCGCAAGGTTGCGGTTGCCTCAAGCTATTATTGATGAGCGCAACGCGCTGGCACGGAAACGCAATTCCACAGCCGGGCAACCCAGCAGCAAGCCGGGAGGACGCTAGCATGAGTCCACTAGCGCAACTACAACCAATCCAACAGAATGCACCAGGAATTCACGTCCAAACCATTCCTGGACACGTCGATGTGAAGGCTGCACAGGGTGGTGCGTGAAATGAGCTGAGGAGCCCCAGGTCGAACTTTTCTTGTCGAAATCTTCAACAAGCGTTAATGGCCACGGCGTGCATGAGAGAAAAACACTCTGACGAGTGCGCATGGTGGAAAGCACTACACATGCGCTCACACGGAAGCCCCCCAAAACACACGCAAAAACCAACGCCCAATTCCCACCCCTAACCAATACATAATAGATAATCAATAATATAATAATATATATAATATACAATATAACATAAATAGTATATAGTATTTATTTTGTAATATTATATATTATATATAGCATGTTTTTAATATATGTAATATATAATATTATTATTATATAATTTGTATAACTTTTATAATTTATATAACCTATAAAATCTATATTATTTATATAATATATAATAAATGTGATAGACAATATATTCTCAGAAAGGGAAAGAAACACGCAAAAACACACCATAAAAAAGGGGCCTCCGCAGCGTCCCACTCTCTAAATAATATATTATATAGTATTTTGTGATATATAATAATAATATACATCAACCATCCCATCGGCTTAACCTGGAGCTTCCTGACTTTCATTACAGGAGCCCTTCGATGCTCAGAAGGACATCTTGCTGCGAGGCTTGAGCCTTTGTGTGGAGCTCTCTGGCTTGCGATGTTGTGGTGCGGATGGCTCTGGATGGCTGATGGGACAGTTGGTCATGGACAGTCTTTATATATAATATCATAGAATATGTATATATCATACCATATATATATAATATTCGTATATCATGCAACATATTTATTCAAAGAGCAGTCAAAGCGGAAAACCTCTTTTGAATTCTCTTGAGCTTTGGACTGCTGAGTTTCGCCCCTCAGGAATGGAGTCACCTTTGTCCAGTCGAACGACAGCAAGGTATTAGGTGGGATCTCAAGGCCCGTGCTGCTTTCCATGTTTTTCAAATCATTGTTCCTACTAAGATTGCCATTTCTGGATCTCCCATGATATCTCCATGTTCGGAGAACTTTGAAGAACAATTCCCCAAAATTTCAGCCACGCAGGCCTTGGGACGTCTATAGCAGCCTAGCGGAGGATGGCAAGTTGCCCTGTCGCGTCTTCCTCACGGTCGCATGGCAAGATGTGGGCGACGGTGCGCCGGAGGCGAAGAAGGTGCGATGGGGATGGCCATGGGGGAGCCATGGGGGACCTCCAATTAACCAAGGGGATCCAAGGGGATCCAAGGAGCAACTTTCTCAGGAAAAATCTGAGACACGGCAAAGTCAGTGGTAATTAAATTCCCAACTTTAGGACAACATGAACCCTGGTTTGACCCTTGTATTGAAAAGAGCATCCATCAGTTTCAAGCAAGTTTCCCTTGATAAATCAAGTCGACATCCTTCTTGACTGTTGAACCCTAATTCTTGATGGTAACAACCGTTAAATGCACATTTTCCCTGGATCACTTAAATTCGTGAAAAAACATCTCCCATTGTTGACAGTGAAATCCCCATCGAATGCTATTTTTTGATGCTTAATTCGTTCCATTTTGTCCAATTTGTTCCATTATTTCATGGTTAAATCGCACCATCATTTGATGGCAACATCCCATTTCATCCCAAGTCTGGATGGTTAACTCCACGATTGGATGGTGAAGTTATATGATTAAACATCCGATTTATCATATCATCCCAAGTTTGGATGTGAAAATCCCTATGAAATCCCAATGTTTTCATGGATCCATTGACCCTTGAAGCCGCCACTTCGCTTCAGTGCCATCCTTCGGGCCTCCTCTCCTGCGACCGGGCACAGATCTGGACGGACGGCGGGCTCGGCGCCAAGACGGCGGCCATGTTGGAACCCTATGCGGATGATAAGGACAGCCTCTGAACTGGGCTTTTTTTCGGATTTTTGGATGTGGGATGGAACTTCCGAGATTTTTTGTCCGGATTTTTGTTGGGAGTGTTGTTGGGATGTTTGTTGAGACCCAATGGGATTTCATGGGATTTATGGTACATATAAATGATGGATTGATTCATTATCCACATTAACTCGGATGCATTGCCAAGTTTTGACATGTGCCAGGAATTTTGGGGATGATTTGGGGTTGTCTCGAAACTTGGAACCCCCGAAACCCCATTGAAATTCCCATCTTGGGGGTACCCGCCCATTTTGAGACGAACCCGTGTCTGCATTTTGGAGATGATTGTCCAACATGTTTTGGGCATGAGTTTCACAAATTGTGTTCGGGGACGATTTCAACGTGTTTTCTTGGACGACTTGGGATCTTTTGGGATAATGTTCATGTTCATGGGAAAGGTTCAGTCGACAAGGAGAACATGGGGGTGATGCAGATGACAGAGGAAGAAATCGCGAAGGTGGGGACCACTGGACCAATCGATGGATGCGGTAAGAGAGGGTGCCGGGTGTGGATGGCAAACTCCATGAAGCCCAGAGTTTTGCGAAAGCAACAGGTTGTGGAAACAATATGAACATTTTAGATGTTTTTAGGTGATTCAACGCTCAAACCCTGCTTCCAAGTTGAGCAGCAGTGAAGCCCTGGATAACTCTTGTAACTCTTGCGGATGGTACTCCCATTGCAACAATTATAGAAGGGTCCAAGTAGTGACAGTCTTTATAACAAGACTAAGGGTCTCCTCCATGGCAGTCCCGGGATTGGTCGAAGGCAACATTTGCAGGAATCACACCATATTCATCCATATTTCACATGAAAACATGGAAAAACCGCCGGTACATCGAGTTTCTCCCAAGTTTTATGTTTTTCCACTATTTTCCGATGTTTTACTATTCCATTTCTTCATGCAGTCCAGGCCATGAGCCAGTAAGTGGTTAGTAACTCCGGCCAGCGAGTCCCCATTTCGTGGGTTATCCCATCGATAAATGGATGAACTAACTGGAGTTATGAGCCACGATCTGTGGGATGATCCTCCAAGTATCCGCTAAAAAACCAATGGTTGATCATAATTTTCATCATTCTAAGTTGCCAATTTGAGGATCACCACAACCACGATCTCTGTGGATGATTTTCCTATTAACGACCAACCATCAATAATTATGTGACTAATTATACCCCCATGGTTTTTAATATTTTGTTATTTACTATTGTTATCCGTAGCCATTTTGGCTCAAGCTGTCACTACTCCGAACAGAATCAGTCTGTGTCGGACCAATGGCTTCTGCTCGCGGTGCTCATGAATTGCCGCAGCTGATTGCTTCCCGAAGCCAAAGTGGCATATCATGAGGTGCAAGCTTCGCTGTTGAAGAAGGCACTCGCCTTGCTCAAAAAAGCTGCCGCATTGGAGGAGCAACCTTTCCAGCACTTTTGGCTGCTGTTCCTGCAGGGGCAAGCACAGAGGCAGAAACCCTGTGGGAGCTGAGTTGCGCCTGCCCAAAGGGCAACTTCAGCCGCTGAGGAGACGCCTTTGTCACCTGTGCCCATTTTTCCCTTGCCAGCGAAGATGACGATAAGGCGAATCTATGCGAATCTGACAGTCGGTGGAATGATTTGAGCTCCGGAGGAGGGCAAGGATCAACACTATCCTTTTTCACTGCATTGTGAGAGAGTGCATTCTGCTTTTCTCACAATTAAGGGGCCCTGCTGCAGCCTTGAAGTTTTCGCTGCTGCAAATTCTGCACCTGCAGAAATCGGGAAAAACTTTGGATCGAATAGACAACTAGCCCCACGCACCATCCCAACCCACGCTGGACCTACGCGGGGTTCTGTGACCGTCACACTGGCTTCGCTCTGGTGATTGCCCTCTTTGTATGTGCTCTGCCCTGCGTGGGTAACACCTGTCCCGCAGTCCCGGCTGCGTCACCAATCCCAGGTGCATTGGTCTACATCGGCTTCTTGGTCTTTTCTTGGTGCTTCTCCCGGTGGTCTTTTTGTCATCCAGACGAGGGCAGCGCAGGGTGCGTGCTACTGCATCAAGGTTGAGGATCATTGCTGTCATCCAGAATCACCATTCGAAAGACCAACGCTTTGTGAAAGTGCTCACGGCGATGTATGATGATGTATGCAGATCAAGGAGCACTCAGCCCAATTGTGTCCCATCTGTCAGCGGCCCTGGCAAGCGTGCTACGACCAGACCTACGTGCACCAGGCCAATTCGAAGAAGCAGAAAGAGCAATGGGACAGCAACAAGGGTACCAGTCTCCACGCAACAGGGCCAACTCCCCCCGACATCACAGGAAAAGGAGGCCAACAAACAGCCCATGATGACTGGCAAAGGCATGAGGAATCAGTTCCAGCCACTTCATTGCCACCCCAGACAATCCTGGGAACGCATCAATGATGGGTCAACCGATGCAGCCTCTTCCACCTGGCGCAACTCTGATGCCCATACTGGGGATGCTTGCCGAGAACCCATGATGCCGCCTCCTATGCAGACCATGCAGGCACCAGGGCTGTGTTGGAACCTTCCCGACACTTCCAGGCATGGAAAACTTTTCTCGCCAAATCCATGAGCAATTGGCAGAAGTTTGCCAAGCAATTTATGCAACACGAGAATGACTTGCAAGAGAGGATCACGTCCACGAAGGACATTGCTATCAAAGCCGAGGTCGACTTCGATCAAGCTCGACAAGAAGCAGGCGAAGAGGAAGAGAACTTGCCTGGCACAGCGGCTGGCTCATCCGTGGAGAAAGTCACCCAGAGCATTCAGAAACTGGCTTCATCCGAAGCAGCCACGTTGGAGGTCGACGAGCCGCATGTGGCCAACCGCCAAAGGGTCGAACAGCCTTCAAGAGATGATGTGAATCCTTGCAGCCCTTTGTCCAGGCTGGTCAACCATGACCCAAGGGTATGTTGACCGACAGCCATTGAACATGAAATGGGCTCTTCTGCGATTTTGGCATCGAAATGGAGCCACAGTATTGAGGAGGAAGATGTTTTTTGTCTGAGTGGGGTGCATGGCAAAATGCCAATTTTCTTGGATTTGATGTTGCCTTGGACAAAATCGATAATCGGCCAACCTCAAGTTGTTCCTCGCCTTGCTGAAACTGTCTCAAAGTTCTCGAAGTGATCTTCTTGCCATGGGAAGATTCCTCACCCAGAGGGACTTGCAGCAGCTTGCGGCTGGAAGCGCTCTCATGCTGGCGAACATGAAGATAGAGAGCGGCGTTGTGATCAGAGGAGGCGCGGCGCTACTCGAACATCCAGCCGAATCCAGCCCCATTCAGCAAACATTGTGTGGAGCTGCACCAGGTGCCCAGCGCAGATCCAGCAATGGAAATATGGAGCCCAAGCGATCAAACCCACCACGATTCGCGTCATTGGTCTTCCACCGTCGGCAAAGTTTTTGCACGCACAGACCATTCCTGTTCTAAGGCGGCTTGAGGGATTCTTGCAGGAAGAGATAAATCCACAGCACATTTTAAGACCGCCCGGGCCCTGTCCTGCTAGCTACTTCTGTACAAATCTGTGCACTGGATTAACGCAGCGGCAGCGAAGCGAGGGGCTCGCTGTCCGCTGTCTGCAGGATCAAGCATGGCTGGTTTCTGTGGCAGGTGTGTCTGCTAGAAATTTTTCCAGCCACTATTTTCCGGACTACCAATCACAGTGTTGATTGTCCTCTTTTGTGCCGCATTTGCAAGAGGCGACAGTCTCAGCAGCTGCAGAAAAAGTGGTTAATTTTTGAGCAGTCATAAAGTGACTACTTGGTGTTGTTTAGTTGTTTCCTGGTTGCCTTTGACCTCCTGAATTCGCAAATTTCTTTAGAACCATACATTTTCATGGATACAGAGCGGCGGGAATCCTTCAGTTACCGATTTTTTCTGGTTTGTCTTTTTCCTCGTATCTCATGACAAGGACCAATGTCCGACATGACAAAGGATTTCTGGCTGCTATGTCCAGATGACCAATGCTACCAGCTGAGTGATGCTTTGTGGGCGAAGTATCAACAACATTCGATTTCCTTTAGAGATTCAAGTCTTGCGGCAACTACTTTAACGTCGCAACCGTTTAAGGTCGCAGACCTTTCCCGGGCCCAAACCGGGAACGGCGGGCTACTGGCCTCGGGTAGTGAGAGAATGAAGGTCGCACTACCCTTACCCGGGTTCAACCTGGTTTGGCCTTGGGTAAGGAGAGTGTCGGTTGTAGTAAGCATAGTGTCAACGTTACTTTGAGACTATCCTTAACACGAAAGACGCTCCCCTTACCCGAGTCTAACCTGGTTCAGACCTGGGTAGCCGGAGGGTGAACTTCGCACTGTGCTTACTCGGCACACGTTACCCGGATTTCTCATGTTTGTCGGAGGCCCGGATGACAGCTACAGCTACAGACACGGTGCACACACAGACACCTCCGCAAAGTCCTGCGAGAAAAAATGATGCGAGCGCGGAATTATTCGATGCAGCCGGCCATTTCCCACATTAATTTTATTTCATTGATTGGTTTCAAACCCTATATAGCCCCATGGGTTTAATCAGACATGCATTTAATCTGTCAGATATTATAGTTTGGTCACTGAAGGATTCCCGAAACTTTGTATCCATCTTTAAATTAACATCTTGAAATTGCAAATTCAAGAGATCAAAGGCAACCAGGCAACTACTAAACAACGCCAAGACTAAGTGGGATGATCCTCCTATCCAGGCCATGAGCCATTTGAAAAGCAATGGCTTCCGCGTCGAAGCCCACGCAATCGGCGACCGCGCCGCGACTTATCTGGTGGATGCCTTCGAAAAATTCATGCCTTCCACAGAGAGGCCGGTGCTGACGCATTGCCAGCAACTGGGTGCCATAACAGTGGGATGGCATGGGATCCCCAAGAATGGTTGATAGATAGTAGATGTAATACCAGTAGTTCCGCACAAGGCGGCGGCGGAAGTTTCAAAAATATGAAACCTATAGGAAGGGTTGGTTGTTGTGAATCACGGATGGCAGAGCGAATCCGCTGATGGACCGAAAGGTGGTTGGAGTTGTGTTTTTTGGAGTGGTTGCACTGGTTGCAGTGGTCACCCCACCACAACTGTTGGATGTAGTGTTGTGTAGTGCACTTGTAGTTGTAGTTGTAGTGTAGTGTGTGGAGTTGTAGTTGTAGTTGTAGTTGCAGTTGAAGTTGTAGTTGTAGTTGTGGTGTAGTGTAATTAGTGTAGTATATTGTAGTGTGCTGTAGTGTTGTGTACTGTAGCGTGGTATAGTGTAGTGTAGCCTAGTCTAGTGTAGTGTAAAGTAGTGTAGTTGTAGTTGTAGTGTATTGTAAATAGTGTAGCGTAGCGTAGTGCAATGCAGTGGTACTTGAAATTGTAGTTGCAGTTGCAGTTGTAGATGTAGTGTAATGTAATGTAATTAGTGTAGAGTAGTGTGGTGTAGTGTTGTGTAATGTAGTGTAGTATTTGTAGTTGCATGTATATTTGTAGTTGTAGTGTGCTGCAGTGTCATTAGTGTAGTGCAGTGCAATGTAGTGTAGTTGTAATTGTAGTTGTAGATTTGGTGGTGGTAGTAGTAGTAGTAGTAGTAGTTGTTGTTGTTGTTGTTATAATAGTTGTAGTTGCAGTTGCAGTTGTAGCTGTAGTTGCCTGTCTATCTACCTAGCCTGTCTATCTATCTATCTATCTACCTATCTATCTATCTATCTGTCTGTCTGTCTGCCTGTCTGTCTGTCTGTCTGTCTATCTATATATCTACCTATCTACCTATCTGTCTATCCATCCATCTACCCATCTATCCATCTATCCATCTATCTATCTATCTACCCATCTATCTACCTATCTATCTATCTATCTATCCATCTATCTACCTATCTATCTATCTGTCTATCTGTCTATCTATCCATCTATCCATCCATCTATCTATCTATCTATCTGTCTGTCTGTCTGTCTATCTACCTATCTATCTATCTATCTACCTATCTATCAATCAATCAATCAATCAATCAATCAATCAATCTCTCTGGCTGTCTGTCTGTCTGTCTATCTATCTGTCTATCTGCATATCTGCAAAACAAAGCTATTCTGCGAGACTTCCTCAGTGCTTGAACTTGACAGCATCAAAAACGCAGCAATTCTGGGAGACTTCTTCCATTTTGGAACTTGACAACCTCAAAAACGCAGCAATTCAGCGAGACTTCCTCAATTTTTTTTTGCACTTGACAACGTGAAAAACGAAGCAATTCTGCGAGACTTCCTCATTTTTAAGTTGACAGCATGAAAAACGAGGCAATTCTGCGAGAAGTCCTTCCAAAATGGAAAGTTGAGTGCAGAGCTGATGGCCTCGTACCAATGCGTTTTGCGATTTTTCCAGTCCACCTGTCTAAAGTACTGCGCCTGCCACGAAAAAGTGATGCGAGGTCATACGAAGTGCTGCACCTGTCCCGTAAAAGCATCTCAGCAAACCTGAAGATCTGATGCTCCAAAATTCAACCCCTCTCAGGAAATCAGCGCCCGGACCTCCCAACATTTCCGAGAAACATGTCTCTTGTACTGCGCCCGCCACGGAAAATGCCTCTTTGCAGATCCTCTTCAAATGTCCCACGCCTGCCATTGTTTTTGGAAATGCTACAAAACCCTCACGTTTTGCTCACTTTTGACAAGGTGCTCAATCCCTTGCAACTTGCCACGCGAAACGACATCTGAACGTCCAATAGTGGTCCGAACCCCTCAGTTTTTTGCACTTTTGACTTCGAAATGTGCTTCGCGCCACAACGGCGTGCATTTTTTCGACATCTCAACTTCCAAAAGTGCTCTGAGCCCGTGAGTTTTTTTTACACTGTTGACTTCGAAATGTGCTTCGCGCCACAACGGCGTGCACTTTTTCGACATATCAATTTCCAAAAGTGTTCCAAACGTGAGATGTTTTGTACATTTTGACTTGGAAAGGTGCTTCGTGCCACAACGGCGTGCACTTTTCGACATCTCAACTTCTAAAAGTGCTCCGGAGCTGAGGTGTTTTGTACATTTTGACTTGGAAATGTGCTTCGCGCCACAACGGCGTGCAATTTTTCATTTCTCATTTGGCCAGCTGGCTCGCACCCGTCGCTTTAGCGAGCCCACTTGTCGACCCTCCGGAGCCACAAGTCATTGGAAAAACATAGTGTTTTGCGACTTTCCTGCCTTTTCGCACACCTGGATCTTCTTTCTTCTCACTCTTTCTCTTTTTGATCTTCTTTCTTCTTTTCTCTTCTCTTCTCTTCTCTTCTCTTCTCTGACTCTTCCCATCTCTGCTTTTCATTTGTCCATATTGTCGGAAGTTTGACTTCTAAACTTCCTTCGATAATAGTAATCAAGTATAGTGGGATATTTTTATTATAGTGAAACATTAGTAGTCAACTATAGTGGGATATTATTGATAATAATCATGGATATTGATAACGATGGATGAATGGATGGTTGGTACGGCATGTAGCCTCCTCAAACATGACATGCCAAAATCATGGGATTTTATGTGTGTTTTTTTTAAATGGTGGGGGGGGGTTGGGAGCAGTGGGATTGCACTGCTGGGTAAAACCATTGATGGTTGGCATGAACAGTAGGGGATATTATTGGGATCATAGTCATAGCGGGGGTGGGGAAAAGTGATGGTTAGTAAGGGGAACCTCACACGCAAATCCCAAACATCAGATTGTTTCAAGATATTTTAAGTGGGTGAATTATGATAATTCAGCTAGATACACTATATGCTATGGATCACAGTGGGATAGTGGAAATGAGAGGTGGGCTGAGAGTGGAGTGAGACTGACGAGGCTTGAAGTTGCGTTCCAATTTGCAAGAAGTCGCTCCTGCCTTCCAGATGGTCTACTCGTGTAGGTTTGTCTGCAGGTAGGGTGCTCCCAATTCCAATGGATAATTAAGCTATGTAATTATTCCCCCATTAAAACGACCATGTGGGGGTATACCCCATTTTCAGACAAACCCATGTCAACTTTTGCCCTGAAAAACAACCTTTTGGAACTTTGACTTGCTGCGATGGCGATCCGAGGTTCCTGAACAAGAGTTTGGTCGAGCGAATGTCCAAGGGTGGAATCATCGCAAATGTTCAGCCTCAGTTCGTCCCTTCAGACCTGCCCATCATCAAGTCACGCGTTGGTGAAGGCCGGGTCTTTGGATGAAATTCATTGATCACCTCCTTCTGTATTTATTCGGAACTTATTGAAATCTTCCACGGACGAGTTCGTATTGAAGATCTCAATATTGCTAAGGTTTGCTGCGTGTGCGGGGGTCTTTGCAAATCGTGGGCTTTTGATACGTAGACTTAGACTGTAGAAATCTTAGTTATTTTCATGTATTGTTATCTCATTGTATCAATGTATAATTATAAGATATCAAAAACTATCAATTACTTTACTTCATATCAATTACTTTACTTCGACTGATCCCCACCGTGACATTATTTTGTCATAGTTTCTGACATCTAACTTGGATGGCATATATTTTCTTACATTCTATTCTGGCATTCTACCTGACATTCTATTCGGGCATCATTCTGATATCCTATTTGGCATCCTTCCTGGCATCTATTCTGACATTTTCTGAGGCGTTCTATCTGGCATTCTTTCTGCAAATCTATTTGGCATCTATTCTGACATTCTTTCTGGCATCTATTATTAAATTATGGCAGTCTATCTGACAGTCTTTTCTGCCATTATATCTGGCATTAGCTCTATTCTTGGTTGCATGCTTTTTGTCGCTCCGTTGGTTTTTGATAGGTGGTCTTAGTATATGAATGCCAAAGTTCTTTGCCCAATAACATCTTGAAACATAGATATTCATTGCGTCAGTGGGTACTTCATTTTTTTAATTACTATATAGGTACTACTTATACAGCTATTGCAAAGATGATAGATATATATATATACACATAGCACTTTGTATTGCATTGGTGATCTTTGAGATTGGACTGCCAGGCCGCCTTTTGGTTGGATTCCAGTGGAACTCCTATAGCACATGGAAGTGCAACTTCCAATTTACTGTCCCTGCTCAAGTAAGTGCAATATTTTTTGCATACTTCATGGTAACTTGCTGCATCAATGCACACGCAAGGCAGCCAGTCTATAGATACACGTGTTTGGAGAGGTTGCTTAAGTGTTTCTTTCACTTGATTTTGTGCCCTTCTGGTTATCATGATGAACTTATACTGACATAGTTTAAGTTTTGCCCACAGTTATGGGTACATTTATGGCACTGGAATGTCTGCCGTTATATCTGCAGTGGCACAGCAAATTACCATGGAATATGCAGGAAAACCACCTTTTGAAGTGCCCTTGGAATTTGCCAACTCTTGTAATCAACAAATATTTTAAGCAAAGAGCTGTTACCGCATTAAGACCTGGAAGAATCCCAGTGCATATGCAGAAAACAGGCGCAAAACTTGTGTCTGTAAGGGCATAGGTGACTTATATGCCACCCATTCCATAACTGTGTGTACTATATAAGAAGACGTGTTTGTATATAGAAAATAGTTGCACCCTAAGTGCATATGCAGCTTGGATGTGTTGACACAGCAAATGGCTATGGCGTCTGTAAAAAATGTCACAAGGAACCCTTTAGATATCACTGCATGTTTGAAGCTGCCATTACTACTGCGTATATATATATATATATATTAAAGGGCTGCCGCCCCCTGCCGCCGACCCCTGGTAGCGTGTGGGGTGCAGAGTGAGGAGCGTGGAGTGTAAAGTGCGGAGTGTGGAGTGTGCAGTGGGTAAAGCGTAGAGTGTAGAGTGGAAAGTGTGGAGGATTAAGTGTGGAGTGTAGAGGGTGAGTGTGAAGAGTGTCAAGTGTAGAGTGTAGACTGTGGTTTTATGCCTGGGGCTTTATCCAACCATGACGGTGATCCCCCGATGGTGGAGCGAAGATAGCCATCTATTCCAGTCGCCACCAAGCATCAACTATATATATCAATGAGAGACCATCCATGGGTTACATTTGTTTAATGGGTTATGGTTAATGATGGTTATTGCTTGTTGATGGTGAATAATGATCAATAATTAACGCCTCCTCGGCTCCAATCGCTCGCAACAGCGGATGCTGCGATACCTGTCGTGTAGAGCTCCCTCTTTGAGACGTTCGAAGTTTGGAGGCTCAAAATGGTTTCCAGGTGAGCTGGATCCAATTGGAACATGGGGGAATCTTTGGATAGAAAAAAAAAGGCGGAACCTCAAGAGGAACGGAACCTGAGTTTTGGGGATGAATCATGAACATACGCAGAAAGATGGCAAATGGCCGTCAACTTGGTTCACTTGGTCCAAAATGTCGGTCCATCCTAGTCCCTATCTCGGCGGTGACAGTTCTTCCCTAAATCCCACTTAGTTGTAAGTGCGGTTTCGGAGAACTTAGACAAATCATAGCCATAGTCATTAATATGCCTTATATTCCAACTTGTGGTTTATAACCCATGGTTACATTTGTAACGTCACACCCCAAGTAGGATCATAAGATGTTACAAGTTCGTCTAAAAAAAATCATGATCATTTGCTATGATCTTACCGGTGCGAAACGCAGGGAACGAGTCAGGGAATGATCCACAATCACTAGTAATAATCAGCCCAGCAACCCCCAGCAACCCATCCATTCCCATCCATTCCCTACGTTTAGCACCAGTAAGTTAGCCCAACTGATGTACCCTCTGGTAATGGCTAACATAGCGATTGAAAATGGCTATTTATAGTTGATTTCCCTCTTAAAAATGGTTGTCCATAGTGATGTCATAGTTGACCAGACGGCAAGTGGAAGGTTTACCAATTTTTACCCAAACAAATCACCCAGTTGTGGTGGTAAATATACCAGCTTAGGGCGCCGGGAAGCGTTTAAGGCCAGCCTACTGCCTAACGTTGCTTTCTGAAACCAGAAGAAAATCTCCAGGAAAGCGCCCGGCAGGTGGCCAAAGGACATGCTGCTTTCTGAAACCAGAAGAAAATCTCCAGGAAAGCGCCCGGAAGGTGGCCAAAGGACATGCTACTGGGCCGCCAAGGGCGCCGGGAAGGGTTTAAGGGCAGCTTAGGGCGCCGGGAAGCCTTTAAGGCCAGCCTACTGCCTAACGTTGCTTTCTGAAACCAGAAGAAAATCTCCAGGAAAGCGCCCGGCAGGTGGCCAAAGGACATGCTGCTGGGCCGCCAAGGGCGCCGGGAAGGGTTTAAGGGCAGCTTAGGGCGCCGGGAAGGGTTTAAGGCCAGCCTACTGCCTAACGTTGCTTTCTGAAACCAGAAGAAAATCTCCAGGAAAGCGCCCGGCAGGTGGCCAAAGGACATGCTGCTGGGCCGCCAAGGGCGCCGGGAAGAGTTTAAGGGCAGCTTAGGGCGCCGGGAAGGGTTTAAGGCCAGCCTACTGCCTAACGTTGCTTTCTGAAACCAGAAGAAAATCTCCAGGAAAGCGCCCGGCAGGTGGCCAAAGGACATGCTGCTGGGCCGCCAAGGGCGCCGGGAAGGGTTTAAGGGCAGCTTCGGGCGCCGGGAAGCCTTTAAGGCCAGCCTACTGCCTAACGTTGCTTTCTGAAACCAGAAGAAAATCTCCAGGAAAGCGCCCGGCAGGTGGCCAAAGGACATGCTGCTGGGCCGCCAAGGGCGCCGGGAAGGGTTTAAGGGCAGCTTCGGGCGCCGGGAAGCCTTTAAGGCCAGCCTACTGCCTAACGTTGCTTTCTGAAACCAGAAGAAAATCTCCAGGAAAGCGCCCGGCAGGTGGGCGCCGGGAAGGGTTTAAGGGCAGCTTAGGGCGCCGGGAAACGTTTAAGGCCAGCCTACTGCCTAACGTTGCTTTCTGAAACCAGAAGAAAATCTCCGGAAAGCGCCCGGCAGGTGGCCAAGGACATGCTGCTGGGCCGCCATCGCCTAGGCAGGTGGGCGCCGGGAAGGGTTTAAGGGCAGCTTAGGGCGCCGGGAAGCGTTTAAGGCCAGCCTACTGCCTAACGTTGCTTTCTGAAACCAGAAGAAAATCTCCGGAAAGCGCCCGGCAGGTGGCCAAAGGACATGCTGCTGGGCCGCCAAGGGCGCAGGGAAGGGTTTAAGGGCAGCTTCGGGCGCCGGGAAGGGTTTAAGGCCAGCCTACTGCCAGGAAGGGTTTAAGGGCAGCTTAGGGCGCCGGGAAGCGTTTAAGGCCAGTAGGGCAGCTTAGGGCGCCGGGAAGCGTTTAAGGCCAGCCTACTGCCTAACGTTGCTTTCTGAAACCAGAAGAACATCTCCAGGAAAGCGCCCGGCAGGTGGCCAAAGGACATGCTACTGGGCCGCCAAGGGCGCCGGGAAGGGTTTAAGGGCAGCTTAGGGCGCCGGGAAGCCTTTAAGGCCAGCCTACTGCCTAACTTGCTTCTGAAACCAGAAGAAAACTCCAGGAAAGCGCCCGGCAGGTGGCCAAAGGACATGCTGCTGGGCCGCCAAGGGCGCCGGGAAGGGTTTAAGGGCAGCTTAGGGCGCCGGGAAGCCTTTAAGGCCAGCCTACTGCCTAACGTTGCTTTCTGAAACCAGAAGAAAATCTCCAGGAAAGCGCCCGGCAGGTGGCCAAAGGACATGCTGCTGGGCCGCCAAGGGCGCCGGGAAGGGTTTAAGGGCAGCTTAGGGCGCCGGGAAGCCTTTAAGGCCAGCCTACTGCCTAACGTTGCTTTCTGAAACCAGAAGAAAATCTCCAGGAAAGCGCCCGGCAGGTGGCCAAAGGACATGCTGCTGGGCGCCAGGGCGCCGGAAGGGTTTAAGGGCAGCTTAGGGCGCCGGGAAGCGTTTAAGGCCAGCCTACTGCCTAACGTTGCTTTCTGAAACCAGAAGAAAATCTCCAGGAAAGCGCCCGGCAGGTGGCCAAAGGACATGCTGCTGGGCCGCCAAGGGCGCAGGGAAGGGTTTAAGGGCAGCTTAGGGCGCCGGGAAGCGTTTAAGGCCAGCCTACTGCCTAACGTTGCTTTCTGAAACCAGAAGAAAATCTCCAGGAGCGCCCGGCGGGGGCCAAAGGACAGGCTGCTTTCTGAACCAGAAGAAAATCTCCATGAAAGCGCCGGCAGGTGGCCAAAGGACATGCTACTGGGCCCGCCAATGGCGCGGTAAGGGTTTAATATAAGGGCAGCTGTTAGGGCGCCGGGAGACGTTTAGGGGCAGCCTACTGCCTAACGTTGCGTT